GCATGGTATTGGCCGATATTAGCGATAAAGTTAAATATCGGACATTCCGATATAAAAGGTGCTGTTTTTGTATGACAGCCCAGTGACAAGGACGCCTGCAGTGTCAACACAACGTTATGACATCATGTGCACCGTTGAGTTTAGATTTGTGAACATTTACAAATTTGCACTGTTCGAGTGTTGTCACTGTGTTAGAGAGTAACTGTCATGAATAAATATGACATTAAACACAATCCAAGCTGAAGTGTTAGATAATTTTCAGCTCCTTTTTGGCATCTGCATTTGGTAAAAGGCCAAATTGGCAAAGACCATGCAGAATACTGTAGTATTTTAATCCCACAGCAGAGAAAGCTGTGCAGTTTCTGTAAGTAGGTCTAAGGGGAAAATATTGGTATTGGTATCGGCCAAATAAGTTTTAACATATCGGCGTATCAGATATCGACCAAAAATCCAATATTGTGCATCCCTAATATTAAGGTGTTTTGAACCCTTCCCACACTCTTGCAATTTTCTAAACAATGTCTCTAAACTCTAAATGCTCTAAAAGAGCACAGAAGGTCATGATCTCCGCTCTCTCTGCCACCTGCCAGCGCTCTCGGCCACGCCCACTTCTCCGCTGCAGAGCAGAGGAGGGAGCTTCTCCCTGCACATGTGGGCTGCACACAGGTGCTAAACAATTTAAAATCATTTATTTTAAATAAAACAATCCATGCCGATCGTGCAACTCGTCCATCGATCAGCCAAATGTGTGTCAGGTCCAATCTTACTTTGAAAACCCACGAAAGAGCGAGTCTGTGAAAGTCGAACCACGAAGTAGCGAGGGACTAATGTATATTCTTCGTTAGCTGGACAGAAATATGATTCCAAAGAAATTTATTAAAAATGTATTCATCTCTACTACCTTAGCCTTGAAGACAGGGTGAAGTGCTTTAAGTGCAGTCAGTAAACCGATGTTTTTAGCAGCTGTCTTCGCCTCCTCTCCATCAGCAAACACGTCAAACAAAGCGTCAAGGGCTTCTCCGTTCACAACCAGGTCCACATCCTTAGAGGCAACTTGAAGTAAGGCGTTCCCAATCAGCTGGAGGAGCGCAACGTCTTAGAAATGGAGTAAACAATAAATGATAAGTAGAGAGAGAAGAAAGGTACCTGAAGGATTTCTGCTGAGCCTTTTTCTTTGGCTAAAGTGCTGCCAGTGATGCCCAGAATGGCGACGGCGTTGACCCTCACGCTGACGACTTCACAGCAGGTCGCTGCCTCGCTCAGGCTCATCAGCTGCTGAGGGGTCATGCACTGAAAAATAGAAAACAAGCAAACATTTAGAGAAGCTTAAAGGTTTACGAAAAATTTTAAAGTCGAGTTGAGAAAAAGCATTTTATTTTAAAAACATTTAGTCAGCTGAAATGTGTCGTTATTCGCTTTATTTAGAGAAAATAAAAGTCGGATAATCTGAGGAATTATCAGGGAAGTTAGTGCGGCTTGAGATGGCGGTGTACTCCATACCTGGGCAATGTTTTTGGAGGCAATCATCTGCAGGAGAGCCCGCACGGCACTGATGACTGCCTCAAGAAACTCGACATCTTTGAGGATCTCTGAAGCAGGAAAAAAAATAATCATTTTGCATATCTTGTTTTGGTTTACACACTTCACTGTGAAGTAACTTTCCATAAAATATCAAACAGGTAAAAGGACAGAAATATGAGACCTTCAGCCCCAAAGACCAGTGTGGAGAGGTGCTGTGCTGCTCCCTGCAGGGCTGCCTCTCCACCCAGAGACTCTGCATCCATGGTGGAGAGGATGCTGTGGAGACACGTCAGTGCTCGGGACTGAATACGCCGCATCCTAAACAAAGAGTAGGTTCTCGTGTCAAGTGTATCGACCCAAACAAAATTAAACATGCAATACAATTGGAGAGATGTCAAGATTTACTTCTTTGTCAGTCCTTTCCAGGAGGGATCCTCCTGACACACACTTATGGCTTCCTGTCTGGGGTATCCTGTCTTTTTGAGAACCTTGAGTCAAAAGAGAAAAAAACATATGTAATATTTTTAAATAAAATAATGGGGTTGTGTAAATGTGAAAGAGATCTCTGTTTAACCAGAACAGGTAAGTAATTGAATTTTCTGCCTGGAAGGTGAAGCTGGGTGAGGTTCAGCACAAAACCAGAGCTCCATTTTAGGCCTGCAATAGTGTGACTGTTTATGAAGCTTTCACACTATTGTGATCCATTTGTTTTCCGTACATTTTTCGCCACGGTTCTCGTCCTGCAGTTTTTAAGCTATTTGAACAAATCATACATCAAAATGTTCAACTCTTTCAGGGCGATCAGACTTTTAGTATTGGTGCAACTTTAGCTTTTTGAAATATTTTGCCTTTTCTGCCACTTTTTTTTTCTCATAGAAAATAAATTGAGCTCATTTTACATCCTTCAGATCTTTAGATCCGTTTACAACATTTTACTGCTCTTTTCACATTATGTTCTGGTTCAGCTTCTTTCAGCTTCCTTGTGCAAATTTTAACTTTTTCAGCTACTTTCAGCTGTTTTTTCATCTGTTTTGTGCCCCTTTCAGATTCTTTGTGCTAACTCGAACATTTTTGTGCTTATTCTGTTTTTCTGCTAATTTCAGCTCGTTATACTCCTTTCAGCTTATTTCTGCAAGTTTCAGGTTTTTCTGCTATTTCAACTACTAATTACGGTAGCTTTATGAATGCTTATTTTAGCTTTTTCAGCCAATTCCACATTTTTTTTGCCCTCATTTCAACTTTTTTTTCAGCCTAATTCAGCAAAAAAAAAAAAAAAACTATCCACTTCCTTCTGGTTCTTTCTGCCTTTTTAGCTACTTTGTAGCTGTTTTTTTTCCCTTCTAATTTCAGCTTTATTCAGATAATTTCCCCCTTTTTTGTGCTCATTTCTGATTTTTTTCAGCTTAATTGGGAAAATGTGTTCTTTTTGCTTTCTTCTGCTCGTTTAGGCTTATTCTACCTTTTCAGCTGCCTTGTTAGCAAGTTTAGCTAATTTCAGCTGTTTTCTAATAAATTCAAGCTTTCGTGGTAATTTCTGCTTCTTTCAGCCTAATTAATTTCTTTCTGCTAATTTCAGCTTGTTTTTTTTTTTGTTTGTTTGTTTGGTTTTTTTTTTTGAATGTCCAGAGGACCAGATTTAACTTTGTTAGATTTTTCTAACTGGATTATTGAGCATGCATCATGATATTCAGCTTGTTATGCTCCTTTCATCTTTTTTCCGCTGGTTTTTGTTATTTCTGCTACTATTTAGAATAAATTAGCTAATTTATGCTAATTTTAGCTTTTGCAGCTAACTCCACATTTTTTGCACTTGTTTCAACTTTTTTTCAGCCTAATTCAGCAAAAATGTGCTCTCTCCACTTCCTTTCAGTAACTTAAGCTTCCATCTGCCTTTTAGTTTCTTATTAGCCTTTTTTTTTTGTCTAATTTCAAATGTTTTCAGATAAATTCAAGTTTTCGTGGAAATTTCTGCTTCTTTCA